TTAAACTATTTTAGATTTACAAAAAAAAAAATCTATAATTAAAATTTTATATAAAATTCAAGGGTTAAAATAAAATTTTACCCTTTCATTAAACCTATTTATCTTTTTAATTTTGTAAAAAACAAATTATATAAATTTTATGAATTTAAAATTTTTAAAGAAAATATATAAATTAATTATAGTAATATTATAGTAGAATTCAATTTTGTTAAAAAAATATATATATAATAAGAACAATTTGTTAAAATATACATTCCAATAATCTTTTATTCTTTTAACTAAACATTGTAATCTTACATTCATACTAAACCAACTAAACACAAAATACAACATTCTCAGTAATCCTATTCCCGATAATCTTTTATTCCCACTGATAATCTTACATTCCGTAAACTAAACGCACCCTTATGGCTTTATTTTCAATTAAAATAATCCTACCAAATCACCATTTTCAACCTTTTATATATATATATATATATGATGCCAATCCTTTGGATCTTTGAAGTAGATACTGTAATTTTATTAAACAATAAACATATGCACAATTTTATTAGGGTAAATTATAAATTTGATGATTGAAATTTATTATTTCTCCTATTTTACTTACTGTACTTTAAATTTTTTCAATTTTATCACTGAACTTAATACATTGAGTTTTTTTTGTCACTCTGCCGTTAAATAGTTAATGTCATTAAAATAGCAGTTATATAGATGCAAAATGACATCGTTTTGGTGAAAATATCATTTTTTTAAACGACGTCATTTTTAATGTCGTTAACTATTTAACGGCGGAGTGATCAAAAAGAAGAGAGAGTCAAGTTCAATGATAAAAAAACTAATGTATTAAGTTCAGTAAGGAAATTGAAAACTTTTAAAGTTTATGAGCAAAATAGGAGAGAGAGTAAAGTCCAGTGATGAAATTTGTAATTTATCCATTTTATTATTCTTTTTATAGCATGACAGAACTAAATATTTTATTTTGGAAATATTTATCACAGAATAATTTTAGCAATAGCTTTATTTATCAAATCATTATGTTAAATATGTGACTTGATAGAAAAATGTTTGGGGAAAAGATAAAAATAAAATTTCTTACAACATTGAATGAATTAATAGAAATTTGTCTTTGTTTATAAAATAAAGTAATAATCTAAAAGTATTTAAAATGTTACGTGTGGTTGTCAAAATGTTTGTGTAATTTAGAATAATTATAATATAATATTTATTTATAATTTTATAGATACTATTGTTCTAATTTTGATAAAAAAAATAGTATTATATATCTTTAACGAAAAATCTACAACGTTCGACGAGTACTGCTGAACACCACTAACAATGAGCACCGTTGAGCATCATTAATTTAATTTTTATAAAATTCTAAAGTACTCAACATATAATTATATATTAATTAAAAATATAAAGGTAAATTATTTAAAATAAAAATATTAATTATATTATTTTCATAATATATTCTTAGCAATAATTGGATTAAATACCAACCCCTAAATTAAAAAATATCATATTGGACAATTCATAATTCTGACAGCCGGATGTATCCCATGGAAGTTGCTCTTAACCTGGCGTTGGAAGCAGCCTCTATCCTACCTCTTCCTTACCCCATTACATATGGAAATAGGATCAGCTAATTTTTTAAATTAAAAAATCATAAATATTTTTTCCTTGCCATTGAAGTCGTTGTCGTTGTTAGCCTCTTCCGCCAACGAGATAGACGTCGATGTTCCTCCCTGCGTGGTCGTCGTTTGCGCAACCAATCCAGTAAGGTAAACTTTCTTTATTTTTATTTTGTTTCGGACTTGGGCGGCCGTTCAAGCCATCACCGGTAGTCGCCTCCTTTATCGGCAGTGGTCGCGGCTTCAATGGCAAGGAAAAAATATTTAGGATTTTTTTAATTTAGTGGTTGATATTTGATCCAATTATTGTTAAAAAATATTATAAAAAATAATGTAATTAATATTTTATTTTAAATAATTTATATTTAAATTTTTAACTAATTTATAATTATACGTTGGGTCCTTTAGAATTTTAAATTTTATAAATTCAATTAATAATGTTCAGCGGTGCTCATCGTTAGTAGTATTAAACAGTTCTTTTAATCACTTAGATAAGTTAGTTTGTGCTATTAATAAAAAATTATTAAATAAAACAATACATAAATTAAAATATGAAAAATAAAGGAAGTTCATATCTTGAAAGTTGAATTAATATATGATTACTGAATGTTGACATAGAAACTATGTTTTATATAATATTATATTATATTACATATTAAATAAGTAAACAGAGCTCCTCCTCTCTTTTCCTTTTTTTTTCTTTTTTACAATTTGTTTCAATCCAATTTTTTCTTTTAATTTTATTTAATCGACGACAGTACCGATTTTAATGGTTGTCGCTTGCTAGTTATATGTTTTTTTATTAATAATTATATCTTTGTAATATGTTATATGCTTTTATGACATTTATCTCTACCTTTGTGGAATGTTTTTCTCTGTCTTTTGATAGTATAGAATTTTTTTGTCGTCGTTTTTATTTATCTTTTTTCTCAGGGTTAGATTTAACATCGTCACGACTGATCAAGATGACGCTTATTTGTTATCATGATGATCTTCCCTGCTTTGGACTCTCGGATTGATTTGGATACGCGTTTTGCGTTCGTGAATAGTTTTCTCATGTCGTTCGACTCTGATTTACGATTTGTCGGTGGTTTTTCAGTAGCTTCATTATCTTTTTACATTTTCCTTCTTTAGTCCTTATGTGATTTAGGTGGCTAGTTTTTGTCTCAATGATAATAAAAAAAATATCACAATTATATTTTAAATTTACGGTTATGCTTGTAAATCTTTATTGTAATTTGTAATTTTGGATAAGCTAATTTAGGCGTGGTTTAATAAAATTAATCATAGCTTTTATTAAGATCAAATGCTCCAATCAAGATGTTTTTATAAAATTTAAACCAATGATTATTAAAGTGGTGAAAAACATTGTTATATCATTACTGCAACGATCATTTCAAAATAAAATTTTAAAATCAAATGACTAATAAACATTTTAATTCAAAACCTTTCAATAATATTATCAAATTATGTTAATTTATCGATGAATTTTCAGCATTAAGTATTCACGAAAAGTTCCATCCAAACTAATTGACTAAAAAGGTTTCATCCAAATGAATGATGTTTAATTTAATTTATTAATTGAGGTAATCGAGAACCCATCACTTCTCGAAGTTGACGAGAAGTGGAGGGGGATAAACAAATTAATAGTTGACCCCAATTGGTTCTTTAATCCATGGATTCAATGTCATCCTCAAATTATACTTAATTGTTGGGCTTAGGAAACAATCATGTTTCGTAAATCAATTTATCTCAGTGGTTAAAATAATCGTTGTTATTTTTAGAGGTCACGATTCGAGTACCAACAGTTACAACAAGATGATTGAGTGTTCAGTGTCAAATGATCAATAATATTTGTAACATGTATTATTTTATAATCACCTTAACATAATAGAAAAAAAAAATCATATTTTAAGAAACGGAAGGAATCATTTAATTTATTTAAAAACCAGAAATTGTCAGAAAAATTAAATAAATTCAATGATAAAATGTGATGTGCTCATAGGTAACTTGAGTTTTTTTTTTAAAATTAATTTAGTGTGCTTAGAAATTGTATTATCTGCTTTAAAAACTCTCGATTATTTGATAATAAACATTACATGAAGATATGATTACTAAATATAATTACTATCTTAATAGTTAAATGTAAGCATAATGACAAAAAAATTATTATTCTATAGACATGCTTGACTACCATGGTCTGTAATTATATTGTAAATTTTCTATGTCATATTAGATAATACAAATTATATATACACAGTTATATAAGTTTAACTTTTTTGAAATAACATTAATTATAAAAATTGAAAAAAAAAAGATATTGAAGAGTGTAATTACACAAACTATTACATCAATTTTCATACTTTCCCTACGACTTATATAACCGTGTGTGTATATTGATGCAATATTTGAATGGGTTGATTTAACTAGATAGAGGCAACGACAACGTCAATCGGTGTTGGTTTTCTTTTGGGTAAACTAAGCATTTAGTACCTACACTATTAATTTTTGTCTATTTTAATACATAAACTTTCATTTTTTTTTTCAAAATCTTATCTAACATTTAATTTTACTTTCATTTTAGTACATAAATTATTAATTTTGGTCCGTTTTAGTACTTAAACTATCAATTTTAACATGTTTTAGTATATAAACTTTTAATTTTTTTCAAAGATTAACTTTAAATTTTGAACACGATTACTAAAATGAAACAAAAAACTAAACTTTAAGTATGATTTTGAAAAAAACTGAAAGTTTAGATACTGAAATAGACCAAATCTAATATTTGGATACTAAATGCGTATTTTACTGGTTTTCTTTTATTTTTCTTAAATGAGATCAAAGTACCAAATAGTGGTTTTAGCCTGTACCTAATAAAAAAGCACCAAAAGTTATAATCTACAGCACTAGTAAGAGATAATTTTCACGTACCAAATTAGTTATAGATGTACGTCTAGCCACACTATTCAAGAGTGTGTTTAATCCTCAAAAATAATCTAAACCAACCAGCCTGTTCCTTCATCACTGTAATAGCACAATTAACATCTATCACTCGGGATACACATAAGAATTGTCGATCAAACGGGTCGAAATGGTTTGAATCAATTCAATTCGGATTTTAAAACTTTCGGGTCATTTGAAGTTTGTCTCCATGCCCAAATGAAGAAACCATCTCTGATTGCTTTAATGTGAAAGAAAATGGTATCATCATTCCTTAATTCTGAGAATCTGAGTAGAAACAGAAGAAATGAAGAAAAAGGGTACCCCAAGATATACAAAACTAGTTTTTCTTTACCTATCTTTTCAGTTTCAAATGATAAAATATATAAACCATAAGCTATTTGTTGAATCGTGTCGCCATCAACCACAAGTTAAAACCCAGAGACAGTAAAAACTATTTACCCCGCACTAAGTTCTTATATTGCAGGCATAAAATAAACCTATTCCTACTCTCTCTCTCAACCTTGCTTTTATGTATCTTAGAAATCCTATGCTAAAAAACCAAGGTAGAACTCATCAATGCTCTTAAGTTCCAATCCACTACACAAACAGTAACAGACACGTTGTATCCTATCCTTCTTTTAAAACCAGATTCCTTGTATTTTCATCCTAATATTAATAATAAAAAAAGAGGGTAAAAAAGTGGGCAGTCACTTCAACGCATTCAAATTTTACCAAGTCAATTAGAACTTCGACGAGTCAAAGCTTCTCCTTTGGAATCCATTGAGCTCAATTCAAGATGACGCGTCACCATGAGGCCCATTACGAGAGTTTAATGGGCTTAATGACTGCATTCGTTGAAAAAGTTTTGCAGATGGTTTCAATTTCGAGTACTGCAGGAAAAAATTGTAAAAACCTTTTAGAAGATACCACACGAGATTTCACCATGAGTAAACAAAAGAAAGAACCTAATTGCATGAGAAAGTTCAATTTTGGAGAAGTGGCTACCTGCTCGAGAAAGGTATTAATCTCTTCTGTAAGACCATCATCATCTCCAGCATTCTCTTCCCAACCAAGGGAACGTAAAAAAGCAGCCTCTTCCTCATCAGAATAAAGGAAAACATCAGGCCTTGAATGCCCATCTCCATTGCTAGAACAGTGCTGAGACTCGGTATAAGCATCTCCATTCAGGGCTATTTCACTCCTATTGTCAGTTGGCAAAGCAATTGAGATTTTTTGTGCTAGATCACCCGCATCCTTCAGAGTAACAGCAGAGCTGGAATCATCAGCGTCAAGTTCATCAGGCTTCTCAGAGACAGGTTGTGACACAGCAGGGCCGGGATCAAGGACAGAAGAAGCAGAGTCCGTAGTAGATTTCTTCTTTAAAAGGTTGAAGAAGTCATTCCTACTCTGGGCTTGAGCAGTTGCTCTCTTCTCCATGGTTAACCGCAATGGAGTCTGATTACGCTCAGCAGGGGCAGACCTGGGGCTGTTGCCTGAACTCCTAAAGGGAGGAGATGCAGCAGCTGAAGGAGTGAAGCTTAGCGGACTACTCACAATTTTGTTGGTTCCATTAGTAGGACTCGAGTTATCCTTAGTGGTTACTATGGAGACACCATTCTGTTCTCGTGATGGTTTGAGTATGCAAAGCCTGCTCTCATTAGAAACTTTTATGCCATCAGATCTTGAAGTTCCACCACGTGTGGAGTTAACAGAGACTGAAGGATGCAGCTGCTGTCCAACTTTAGGTTTCGATTTCTCAGAAGGACTGGCCACCTGTTGGGAAAAAAACAGGAAGTGAATAAACACACCCACACATAAAAGTAAAATAGGTAACCTTCAAAAATCTTATCCAAGTTTAAATTCAATAAGCATAAAATTCAGCACTTAGGTAGACTTCATAATCTAGTTTTATAAAGAAAATTATAATAAGATCTCTAACACAGTAGATAACCCCAATGTGTACTTGTAATAAGAAAACACACAGAAAAGCTTAACACTAGCTCACCAGACATTTAGGTGTCGATATTGTCACCAAGGGAATAAGTTGCCTTGATTGTTTGATAGCCAGCTCCTCAAGCCTTTGAGTTTCAACATTTAACTACAACAGGGAACACATCAGATCTTATTTCCACACTAATATAATTTCTAATGAATAAACATAACAGAAGAATTGGTCAAGTTACCAATGGAGGTGTATGAGCACGAGAAGGCCCCTGAGCCACTGCTTCAGCCATATTAAGGCCCATCGTCGTAGTTGGAGTCGAGCCTGCACAAACATTTGGTGAAACAACTGCAACACCTCCGCCATTACTTCCCAAGCCCACAGGAATGTCTGCTAGAGCTGATGCTCTACCATCACTGCTGGTGCCAGGTGAGGTCCCTAATGGCAAGCTCTGCACAAGATTATTCAAGCCAGGAGATGAAACTCTTCCTAATTCAGACCCAAACTGTCTTTCTTCAGCACCAAGTGAAGGAAAATCACGTTCAAAAGCAGATTTACTAATCAAGCCAGGAGATGAAACCCTTCCTATTTCAGACCCTACCAGTCTTTCTTCAGCACCAAGCGAATGAAAATCACGCTCAAATGCAGATTTATCACGGACAACAGTGCTAAGCTTACCATTACCACTGCTATGATGGCTTTTGCTGTTGCTACAAGATTCATTTGTCGCTTTCCTTGGCCATGTGTCACTACGCTTGCCAGTTATCATAGACTGTGAACGCTGTAAGACATACTTCTCGGATGTGCTCGGCAACAAGTTATCCAGAGAATCAGAATAGTTTCGGTTCCTATGGTCGCTGAGAACAGCATTCTTCCTATCATGGTAAACCTTAGTAAATTTTTCCCAATCCCTTTCCCGGTTGCCTTTAGCAAAATTGCTATAAGACCATGAGTCAGAAGAACCTTTGCTACTAGGACTCCTCCCAAAATAGGCAGAAGGGGCCCTATCCAAAACAGATGTCCGGCCTATATCACCATCACTATCAACAGACAACTTATTTCTGGCATGCCTCAATGCAGAACGATTGTCTATGAAAAAAAAAAGAATCAAAGATTAGAATATAGAAATTTATTTTCAATTTTGCTTGAAAAGAATGACAAGAAGATAGATTTCAATTTTTGCTAACTGTTGAGAATTCTATCAGAAACTTCATAAACAAGTTCCAGGCAACTACATAGAAAAATCAACTTCTACATACATACCTCTAAAAGGAAAATAAAGAAGAAAGTTAAAAAAATTACAATATTGTTTTCTTTTTCAAGCAAAAATGAAGATGCACATTTAGAAATATAAGGTATGTACATAGATGTTGATTTTTCTCTTTTGCAAGCAAAATGAAGTTGCAGGCAACTAGATAGAAAATAAACTTCAAGATACATACAAGTAAAATAAAGAAACTTAAAATTTTTACATTATTGTTCTCTTTTTCAAGCAAAACGAAGATGCACATTTTTGAAAAAAAAGGCATGTACTGTAAAACTTTGAGTTCTATACGCATCCTTGAAATAACATTATCAAATCTCTCCTAAAGATATCAACCAACACAGATTTCTAAAGGCCATAAAAGCAAGAAAGGAATAATACACCCTGAATATATAAACTAAAATTACCTGAATGTGAAGATGATAATGTAAATTGGTGAATTGAATTGCCACTACCAGTAAGACTTCCACCGCTCTTCAACCATTCCGGTATCAATGAAGGCTCACTTTTTTCCATAATTCTTGCTAAACATGATCATAAAGAAAGAAAGAATTTCTAAGATTTGTTTCTCTTTTTCCAGTTATAACGCCTCAATTTCCAATATTGTTATGTTCCCTTAAATCCAGTTGCACTAGTCAAATACCTTAAACATGAACCTAAAGTTTCTAACTACTAAAACCAAAATTTCCCAATTTCAGATTTTTTTTCTTTACACTGTAACTAAGGTTGCCCCTTGTGTTCCTCCTATACAATTTCCACATCTAAGGTTTATCAAACCTGCCAATCAAATTAATAATTCAAGGAAACAATAATTATAGCGTTGCTGAGAAATAAAATATACTTGAAGCTTTTCCAAAAAAAAATCCTTCTCAAAAACCGTAGCTCTCTAAACAAGCGCTTCTGTAATTCAAACGACCTGATTATATTTTTTCCCTTAATATTTCAATATCAATAGAAGGGCTGCTCCTAGAGTTCTTCAAAACCCAACAAGAACAAACTAAGAAGACCAAGACCGCCACATATCTAAGATGACAATTCTACCCTTTTCAACAAGAAAGTACAAAACGAGACTGAATGAAGAACCTAGACCCGATATGGTCAATAACTAAAAAAACCGAACCCTAAAACATTCATATCCCTTCAACAGACCTTCTCAAAAAAAACCCAGGTTTTCCTCTCTTTTTTTACTATGAACCGTAGAGTAACAGAGTAGAAGGAAACGAAATTCTCAGATTAACATAAGGATTATCAGCCGCTAACAGCCTAAATCAGATTAAAAATGTAGAGAGAACCTCAATCGTACGGCTCTCGACGCTTCGTCGTCCCTTAATTCTATCGCGGTACGAGGTTGAGCGAATCAAATTAAAAAAATCTAATCAGAATGCCAGAAGGAAAAGTGTTGGTCAAATAAACAAAACAGCTTAAGGAAATGGATGAAACGACGTAGTATTTCTGGTGTGAACTTGTGGAGATAAATATGAGTGTGGTTTTAGGAAGGGAAACAATGAGGTAAAATAATAACAAATGTATTTTTTTGTATACTTCCTTTAATATATAAAACTCTTTTTTTTTATTAAAAAAAATTCTTTTAATTTTACAACTTTTATTTGGTTCGAAGAAAATTAAAAATTGTGATTAATTTTTTATTTTTTCAATAATATATTCTCATTTTCTATTATTAATCGTTATCTTTAATTTTTCTCATTGAATGGTCGTAAAAAGAGTTACGACTCAATTACACTGTGTAAAACTCTTTTAATTTTACACCTTTTTAGAACCATTAGATTGAGAGAAATAAGCTGAGAATAACTCTTTTTTTTCAATGAATGTTTATTGTTAATCTCAGCTAGGGATGGGCATGAGTTGGGTCAGTCGGATTTTCGGTCCATCCACTTGATCCGAAAATCATAAATCTTTCACCCGACCTAAAAAATATACACCTTTCATCAAACCTGGGCCCAACTCGAAATAATATATTTATTTAAAAATATTTGTTATTCAACAAAAATAGGGATTTAATTGAAAGAAAATAATATATAGATGTGTATTATTTCAATTATCCCTAAATATATAACGTAAAATTATAATTTTTTTGGGTCGAATCAAGTCGGGTATTTTCACCCTAAACCTGACCCCGACCCGAACATAACTTTAAAAAACTTGACCAAACCCGAACTTTATTTTTTTTTAAAAATCGACCCCATCGAGTCGGGTCGAAACCTGTGTACTTCGGGTCACATGCCCATCCCTAATCTCAGCATTTAATTTTTCTCATATAATGATCCTAAAAAGATGTAAAACTAAAATAGTTTTACCTAATGTAATTGGATCTTATTCCACATATATATATTACTTTCTTTTTTTACAACAGGTGTTGGCACAAGTGATTGAGATTCAAGAATCTGAGCTTTGTAAGGTCAAGTTCGTATCATACCACCGTCACTCTTGGTGGGCAATTTGTAAAGTCCTATGTAAATCTCAATCGGGTCTTAAGTATACCCTGACCCTACACTGGTTGAACTACCCCTAACCTAAACTTTTTGTGAACCAAAAAAATTACTTTCTTTTTACCATTAAATTAAGAACGTTTAATAAATTCAACATTAACATTAATGATATCAAAATAATAGAATAATAAAATATAATGGAGAGGCCCGAAACTGGGTCCGCAAAGAAATAAACTTGGACATCAATGGATTTAGGCTGTGATGGTAAGATTCTAAGATCCAGTAACCAAGGAACCCAAACTCGTCCACCCAATCCAAATCTGAACTCGCAAGAAGAAAACGGCCGCTTATAAAAAATCTCAAAATCCTAAAATTCCAGATCAAAAGGAACGTAGAAAAAGGGTTTTACGAGTTGTATAAGCACAGCAAAACAATCGCTCGTTGGTATTTTTTTCTCCAGACAACCGTAATCGTCGAAGATGCCAAAGTCTAAGCGTAACAAGATAGGTTTGTCTTCTTTAAATCTTTCACTATTAGAACATACTGTTTTGGTTGTTATAATGTTTTGAAAATGTGTGAATTTCATGGTATTTGCAGTTTCATTATCGAAGACGAAGAAGAAGGGTAAGGAACATAAAGAATCAATCGTGAATTCCATAAGGGAAGCTGCGGAAAGTTACAGTTCTATCTATGTTTTCTCATTCGAGAACATGAGAAATCTTAAATTCAAGGAGCTTAGAGAGCAGCTTAAGTCTAGCAGCAGGTACAAATTTTAAATTCGAGAACACATTTCCCCCTTTTTTTCTTTATCGTTTCTGTTAAAGTTGGTGTGGGTTTTTCTTCAGATTTTTCCTTGGTTCAAATAAAGTTGTGCAAGTTGCATTAGGCCGTTCTGCTTCTGATGAGATTAGACCAGGTCTTTACAAAGTCTCTAAGGTACATTGTAATAACGTGTGTGTATCTTTGTTGTTGATGTTAGTTTTTTTTTTTTTTTTTTTTGCCGTTCTTTGTTATAATTACTACCATTGTTGAATTGTTTTAAAGCTTCTGCGTGGGGATGGTGGACTTTTTCTTACCAACATGCCAAGAGAAGAAGTTGAAAGGTCTCTGTTTAGGATGTTATGATTTGAATTCAGCTTCCCTTTTTAGTTTCCTTACTTACCATTTTTTGTGCAGCTTGTTTAATAAATTTGAAGAAAATGACTTTGCAAGGACAGGAACCACTGCAACTGAAAAGGTATGAGAAAGATGACATCTTGTTGACGTTGTTGTTCTGCATTACATTTTTTATGATACTTGATTATTAAACTTTTGGGCTTGCGCTTGCTTACTATTGTTTCCAGGTGGAACTTGCGGAAGGTCCTTTGGATCAGTTCACACATGAGATGGAGCCCTTTTTGCGCAAGCAAGGCATGCCGGTTCGGTTGAACAAAGGTCAGATATCTCTCTCTTATGTTTTTCCATCATACATGTATGGTATCTATTTTTATTGAATTTGCATACTAACTTGATCTGTGTTGTACAGGTGTTGTGGAACTTGTTTCAGACTTTGTTGTCTGTGAGGAAGGAAAGCCTTTGTCACCAGAGTCTGCTCGGATACTGGTCTGTTCATGTTTCAAACCTCTATTTTCCTATTCATAATATAATACCTTCAGTGAAGGAATATTGGACTGGTATTTAGTATTAGTAGGTCATCTACTGTTAGTTGCAATCATTTGATGATGGTTTTGTCTACTGGAACTCAAATTTTGATGACATTTTTATTTGTTTGCAGCGCTTGTTGGGTATCAAAATGGCTACTTTCCGGTTAAACTTGATATGTAGATGGAGTCCTGAGGACTTTGAACTTTACAAGGAAGGACTAGATGAATCGGATGTTTAATGAGCCTAGACCAATATATCCAGATTGAAGACAATCATTCAAATTTGATGTATTGGTTACCATCTTGGTTGTTATGGATGGCAATGCGTTATCACAAAGTAAAATGCAGCTGCAACAGCATTGGTGCAGGTTTCCTAGTTTTGTCTTGATTTCATTTTATTATAGTTTAAGTGTTTAATCGACTTATTTTATTCTGCAACTGCTGCGCTAAATTTTGATATGTTTTAACATATTTGCCTCTAGAGATTATCCCTGTAAAATCTTCTGTTGTAGTATAGAATCCATTTGAAATTGCAACAGCCTTCACCCTCCAATTCTTATCTATGGTATGGTTGGTTCTGGATTGCAGAGTTTAATAAACACGAAAACATCGTGATAGACATGCACATGGTATGCTAACTGTATGCTAATCTGGTTATGACCAGCTACTATGTTGTTTTTACAAGACAATGATGAATTGATCATTGATGCATCTAAATGAGTTGAATAATCCGAAAACTGAAAATTTGGAAGAACGTTTTCTTCCTCATGGATGCTCAGAAAATTAAGCTAATAAAAATAGTAAAGCTAAAGAGGAGCCGTATTGGCCATCAAATCATTGATGTGCATGGCAGGAAAACATGAGTACCAAGTAAACACGGTCGTATTGCATCAATGCAAAATTCGCATGCAACTTTTAGAACATAACCTTGATAGATTGAACCTCTGTTCCAAAATGAAGTTTTTGCATCCCATAAAATTGTAAATGAGCCACATTGTTTCTACAGCGATGGGAACACAAACTCACAATGCTGCCAATTCAGCCTTTTTACCCTCCAAAAGTTTTAGCTCCTCACGCCAACCTTCTAGTTTTGCCAACTTTTCCAACTGTTCTGGCTTCATATCTTGCAGCGGAGTTTTCTGTTGTTGAGCTTCTGCTAGTCGAATCTACATACGAAAACCAATATTCAGGTTAAATAAAGAACATGAAACTCGAGTTTTAGTTATTGAACGCATGTTAAGATTATAACAAGTTTTCCTTTAAAAATCATAAGAGCACCATGCTGCCTCCATGTATGGGAGGGACACAATTGTGAACAATTAATTTGCAGTGTCCCAATACAGTGCCAGTACTAAAGTGCAGAAGTAATTGCATGTTCAGCTCAGTCTTCAGTCATCAAACATGTTTAGGAACAATACAAAGTTGAAACTTGAAACTTGCACAAACAATGCATATAGTTATCATTGTACTCGATATACGGAGACCACATTAATTCAAATATGGAGACCCATACCAAGAGAACAAGTTAAAGGGATGTGAACCCAAAAGTAAACTGATATGCAGACCTAAAGCCAACGAGACCATGTGGTCATACCAACTAATGCCCAAAGATTCATATGCAAAAGCATATGAGGTTAAATTAGTAACCAGAAAAGAAAGATTTTATTAATTTGAATAAGTGGAATATGACCAGTTCTCTGTATTTATTTCAAAACTCCAAAAGGCAATTTCCAATTTGTTCTCCTCCCATCGCAGCCACAATCACATTT